CTATATATATATATATATATATATATATATATATATATCCATACCATACATACATATATATCACACACACACACACACACACACACACACACACACACACTAGAGGCCCAGTGCATGAAATTTGTGCACAGGTAGGGTCACTAGGCCTGGCCGGCGATCAGGGCCAACCAGGGCCTTCCTTCATTCCACGTTGCCCCCTGGTGGTTAGCGCATGTCATAGCGAGCAGTCGAACTCCTGGTTGGTCGAACTCCCGAGGGGACAATTTGCATATTAGCCTTTTATTATATAGGAAGATGTGTCTTTGGTTAATCTCTTCCTGTCCTCCCCCCTCTCATTTCCTCCCCCATGAAATCTGTCAGTCTATTCCCTGAATCCATGCCTCTGGACCTATTTTGTTTGTCAATTTATTTTGTTCTTTAGATTCCACATATAAGTGAGATCATGTGATATTTGTCTTTCTCTGACTGTCTTATTTTGCTTAGCATAATAATCTCCAGGTCCATCCATGCTGTCACAAAGCATAAGAGATCTTTCTTTTTTACAGCTGCCTAGTATTCCATTGTATAAATGTCACAGCGTTTTTTTATCCATTCATCTACTGATGGGCACTTGGGCTGTTTCCAGGTCTTATCTGTTGTAAATAACGCTGTTCTGAACATAGGAGTGCATATATTCTTTCTGATTGGTATTTTTGGATTCTTAGGATATATTCCCAGAAGTGGAATCACTGGGTCAAATGGCAGTTTCATTTTTAATTTCTGAGGAAACTCCATACTGTTTTCAATAGTGGCTGCACCAGTCTGCATTCCCACCAGCAGTGTGCTAGAATTCCCTTTTCTCCACATCCTCACCAACACTTGTTGAATGGTAGCCATTCTGGCAAGTGTGAGGGATACCTCATTGTAGTTTTTATTTGCATCTCTCTGATGATTTGTGACATTGAGCATGTTTTCATAGGTCTATTGGCCATTCATATGTCCTCTAAGAGAAGTGTCTATTCAGGTCCTTTGCCCTTTTTTTTAATTGGATTTTTTTGTCTTCCTTTTGTTGAGTTGTATGAGTTCTTCATATATTTTTGAAATTAACCTGTTATCAGATGTATCATTGGCAAATATGTTCTCCCATACAGTGGGTTTCCCTTTTCAATATTGATGCTGGTTTCTTTTTCTGTGCAGAAGCTTTTTCGTTTAATGAAATCCCATTTGTTTATTTTTCCTTTGTTCCTCTTACCCTGGGAGATGTATTGGTGAAAATTCTGCTAGAGATGTCTGATATTTTGCTGTCTATGTTTTCTTCTAGGATTTGATGGTTTTGTGATTTACATTTAAGTCTTTTATCCATTTTGAATTTATTCTTGTGTATAGTGTAAGTTGGAGGTCTAGTTTCATTTTTTGGCATGTACCTGTCCAATTTCCCAACACCACTTATTTATTCCATTTTATATTTTTGCCTCCTTTGTCAAATACTAATTGACTGTAATGGCATGGGTCAATTTCTGGGCTCTCTGTTCTGTTCCATTGATCTATATGCCTGTTCTTGCACCAGTACCAGGCTGTTTTGATTACACTGGCTTTGTAGTGTAGTTTGATATCCGGTATTGTGATGCCTCCAATTTTGTTCTTCTTTCTCAGGATTGCTGCGGCTATTTAGGGTCTTTTTTGGTTCCATATAAATTTTTGGAATTTTTGTTTTAGCTCTGTGAAATATGCCTTTGATATTTAATAGGAATTGTGTTGAATCTATTGATTGCTTTGGGTATTATGGACATTTTAATGATGTTAATGCTTCCAATCCATGGACATGGTATATGTTTCCACTTGTTTGTATCTTCCTCTATTTGTTTTTTCAGTGTCCTAGTTTTCCGAGTATAGGTCTTTTACTTCCTTGGTTAAGTTTATTCCTAGGTATCTTTTTCTTTGTTGTTATTGTTGCAATGGTAAATGGGATTTTTTTTTCTTTTTTTAGTTTCTTTTTCTGAGAGTTCATTATGAGGCAGTATTTTAGTGCTAGGTGACCTACAGGGGGCTGTGAAATCTAAAGCAAATTAATCAATATCTCTGAGCCTCATCAGTAAAATGGCATGGTTGCAAGGACTAATGTAAAACATCTGACATAGTTTTCTCCTCGTACTTGTTCCTATGCATACAGATTTTTCATGCAGTATAACCATACTGCTGGTAAAATTTTCAACTGGTAAAATTTTCAAGTCTTACTTTTACTTGATCTATTTCCATAATGTAAAAATCCTATATAATAAAGAGGTAATATGCAAATTGACTGTCACACCCTTGCACAAGATGGCCGCCCCCATGTGGTCACAAGATGGCTGGCAGGGGAGGGCAGTTGGGGGGACCAGGCCTGCAGGGGAGGACAGTTGTGGGTGACCAGGCCTGCAGGGGAGGGCAGTTGGGGGAGGCCAGGCCTGCAGGGGAGGGCAGTTGGGGGAGGCCAGGCCTGCAGGGGAGGGCAGTAGGGGGAGACCAGGCCTGCTGGGGAGGGCAGTTGGGGGGGACCAGGCCTGCAGGGGAGGGCAGTTGGGGGCAATCGGGCCAGCAGGGGAGCAGTTAGGCGTTGATCAGGCTGGCAGGAGAGTGGTTAGGGGGTGATCAGGCTGGCAGGTAGAAGCAGTTAAGGGCAATCAGGCAGGCGGACAGGCGAGTGGTTGGGAGCCAGCAGTCCCAGATTGTGAGAGGGCAGTCGGACATCCACCGAGGGGTCCCAGATTGGAAAGGGTACTGGTTGGGCTGAGGGACACCCCCCAATAGTACATGAATTTCATGCACCGTGCCTCTAGTTTTTTATAGTTACTGTTTTGAAAATATTGAAGTATTAAAAAGTAATAGACCCATGACATTCTACCACTAAATATACTGTGTGTACTGCATGATGTCCAGTATGTAAATAATATGGGCAATAAACTTATTTCTGCTTCTCTCAAGAAATAAAGTTTTTAAAAACCTTACTTCTTGAGATAACTAAAACCAAAACCAAGAAGAAACCACAGAGCTGAGTTGAGTTGGGGAATGGGCCCATAATAGGATTACTGGTTGAGTGGTACACTCTCATACACCAGCCTGAAATTGCAGCTCACAATATAGAGATTTGTATGTCATGGACTTTGGGGTTACACAATAATTGTCAAAACCACGTATCTTAAATTTGAGAATATCAAGGATATGTTGTCCTTTACCTAGTAACAACTTCAGTATACATGGGCATTTTAAATTTTGTTTCCTAATTTTTTTTTCATTGTAAAATTATGCTGCTGAAGTTATATTCATACATTGTTTTTTCTTTCTCTAGTGGTATTTCTTTAGGATAAATCTTTTAAAATAGAATCATTCTATTAAAGGGCACAAACCTTTAATGGCACTTGATGTAATTGCCAACTTATAAAAATATTCTATAGATTTACACTGTCTTCAGTTCAGTAGATTAAGCTGTCTATAACTAGAGTTTTTTATTTAAAGTGTTTAAATTGATTGAACAGGTGAAATATTTTAATTTGTATTTCTTTAGCTACGAGTAAATGTAAACATTTAATTTTCATACATTTGTGGTAGTTCCTCTTGATTATTTATTCACTTATTTTTTTCATATTTAACTTAATGGGATCACTTAACAATTCAGTTTCTTTTCATGGCTGTGGCTAAATTAGATTTTAATCTAATATTATTCTGCCTTTTTTTTCTTTTAGCTGCAGTAATAAACCGGTTCACGAGGCGTGCCTCAGGTAAGTCTGACTGAATTATGGATTGTGCTTACTAATGGTGACATTTTTCAAATGATTGCAGTGTTGGAGAAGGTATGAAAAGAATAGTTGCTATAGAGCAGTGATTTTCAACCAGTGTGCCGCAAGAATTTTAAAACATGCAATACCTGACTATTTAGTCAGGGGCACTGAGCCCTTTTCCCTTAGATGGTCAAATTTAAAAAATGACAGCAGCCAACACAACAAAGCCATCCAGTGTGAATGAATCAAAATTATACCTATTTTTTGGTCAGATTGGAAAAAAATATTTAGTTTCTCTGTGCCATGAGTTGAAAAAGGTTGGAAATTGCTGCTATAGCCTGGCTGGTGTATCTCAGGAGGTCACAGTTCGATTCCAGCCAGGGCACATGCCTGGGTTGCAGGCTCGATTCCCATTGTGGCACGTGCAGGAGGCAGCTGATCAGTGATTCTCTCTCATCATTGATGTTTCCATCTCTCTCTCTCTCTCCCTTTCCCTTCCTCTCTGAAATCAATAAAAATATATTTAAAAAAGAAAATTACTGCTATAAAGTAGTATTTTATTTGTCTGTCATTTGCCCAGAAAAACATAACCTGTGATATATGCAATAACTAGGAAATAATTGGAAATATTCTCCGATTGGCTAAACTTAAAATCGTACTGTGCACTGAGGTTAATGTACCTTTTTAAATGGAGACTCTCACCCTAATTTGTTTATTCCTGCTCTTGATCAGTTATTATCTGCATGGTTATCTGATTGAGGAGACACAGTTTATAAGCAGTGATTTCGAAGATTGGGTAAAGGACACTACAAATAGTGTTTGATGATAGTTTTTAATAAAGGACAGAAAAACTTAAAATGCAGTTACCATAAGAACTTGTCATCATGGGCCATTTAGAATCAGAGCAAATTGCTTTACATTTGTTAATGCCCCTGTGGTTATTGCTGACTTAAAGATACCACAGTAACCTAATGCATATTCACAGTGATAGACCTTTGCATGAATGAGTGCTTAAATTAGGTTCACTACCTACACTGGTAGGGAGTACAGGATACAGTTGAGAGAGCATTTATATCCAAAATGAAAAGGAAATATTCTACTTTTGCTCTTTTTAAACCCATTTCTACTCTTAGTGATTACTTCTTATCTGTATGTATATCTTTTTAAATACACAGAAGTCATACACAATCTATTTTAGAATTTGTATGTAATTAACATTGAAAGTTTAGGGTTTAATTTTTCTTTACGCTTATTGTAGGTTTTCTGTTTTGGAAGGTCATTCTTTTTGGTGGAAAAAATAGAAATATACCACTTATTGTTGTAATTATGAAAAATTAGCTGTGGTGGTAGATGTAGTCTCCCAATAAAACTCTGAGATTAAAACTAAGGAAACAGCAATCTTGTTTCATTGTTCATCTAGTATGCCATATGGGAAAGACTCTACCTAGCCTGTGAAGTTACACACACTTGAGTTCAAACCATCCATTTACTCTGTGAATTTGCATGTACATTCTTTACCTCATTGAGTTTTACTTTCTTATTTTCATTCTTTCAGTTTGGGGTCATACCAGCTACAATCATACATGTTGTGATGGTTAAGTTAGATGGTTTTTATAAAGCAGTATGTGTAGGCTCTCAAGTTTGTTAGTGGTTCTTCTCTAGAACATTGTTTAAAGCAAAAGAAAATAGTAAAACCCTCAGCGCTGTGCCTTAGCCTGTTATTTAAAAAGCTTTAAAGAGTTATAACACTATTTGATAGTCATTCTTTAATATAGGCATCTCTTTTTATTGTTTGTACTTTATCATTTTTAAGAATATTATAATGATTTTCCTCTATGGTTTTCCCTCTCCCCCTCCCCCAAATTAAAAAAAAATGTCTAGAAGTGTCCCATTAATCTTGAAACAATGCCTTGCAGCATGAGGTCACACCTCTCTCTGAATTTTTTTTAACCCCAGGGTTTTATTTTGAAAAAAAGTCGTTTATAGGGAAGTATAAAGAATAAGTCAGTGATCACCTTTATCTAGATTTCCCAGTTGTTAATATTTTGCCACATTTGCACACTCTTTTCCTTCTTTCCTTACACATGCACGTACCCACACTTTTGGTTTTTTTAACTGAACCTTTTAGGAATCCTAAGTCCTTCATGGATATCTCCTAAGAACAAGTTATATTCTTCTACATAATATAACACAAGGACTTTAATCTTGATAAATGATATTAACATATATAGTCTAGAGTTCCATTTTCTCAGTTGTTTTGATATGTCCTCTCTCCCTCTCTTTTTTTTAATCTGAACAATGAAGATTTAATTAAAAAAATAAAATAAAATGTACAATTCAGTGGTTTTTATTATACTCAGAGTTGTACAATCTAACAATTACCACTATCTAATTTTAGGATCTTTCCCTTTTCTTTCTCTTTCTTTTTAAAAAGACATGCTCAGCCCTAGCTGGTTTGGCTCAGTGGATAGAGCCTGGACCTGCAGATGGAAAGGTCTAAGGTAGCGGTTCTCAACCTGTGGGTCGAACGACCCTTTCACAGGGGTCGCCTAAGACCATTGGAAAACACATATATAATGACATATTGCTTTTGTGATTAATCACTATGCTTTAATTATGTTCAATTGGTAACAATGAAATTGGGGGTCACCGCAACATGAGGAACTGTATTAAAGGGTCGTGGCATTAGGAAGGTTGAGAACCACTGGTCTAAGGTTTATTTCTACCTCAATGGCTGGCTCCTACCCAGCCTGGCCCTGGTCCGGGCTTGGACAGGAGGCAAACAACTGATGTGTTTCTCTCACATGGATTATTTCTGTCTTTCCCTCTCTCCCCCACTCTCTCTAAACATCAATGGGGAAATATCCTCGGGTGAGGATTTAAAAAACAAACAAAGGTGGGTAACCTGGTCAGAAGGTGAAATCTTCAAAGTGCATGCAAGCTGCTCCTCCCAGGGGGTCTGGACTGAATGTTCTAGAGCATCTCCGGGAAAGCCTCCAGGGATGGTGCCTCCACATTCTGGAAGGTGTCCTGGACTCTGCCGTACAGGAAGAATTCTTTGTCCTTCAGGAAGATGAACCCGAAGTGGTTCTCATCGAACAGGACGAAGACTCCAGGGCAGCGCCTGGTGTAGGGGAAGCCATGTCTGGTAACAGTAACAGTGTCCACACCATAGAAACACATCCTGCAGGTTCGAGGGCGGTTCTGGATTTATTGAGAATACGCCCACAGGCAGAACAAACGGGACAGGCTGCTCCTCCGAAGCTGCAGCCCCGGACTCCCTGCCGCTGTGCTGGGCAGGGCTCTGCCAGCCATGGCCCTCGCTTTTTTTCTTTCTTTTTTTTTTTTCTTCCCTGATCACCTGCTCATCAATCTCCTGGACCACGCGGGAGAGCTCGTTGAAGTTGCGGAAGATCTCGCCATCTCCTAGCTGGATGCAGCGCATGAGGAGGATCTCTAACGTCTCCATGGAGGCTCCCATGATTTTCGTGACCCTGGCATACTTCCCATGGAAGCTGAGCATGGCAGTCTTTACTATTAAGCCCTCGTATTCGACTTGGAAGAGGCCTGGCCTGATGAGGTCGTCCGGGTGGCGTGGCGGGAGGTAGAGGCGGCGGTAGGTCACCAGCACCCGCCCCCATGCTTCCCTAAGCAGCGTTGGTAAATCCGTTCGGTGGTCTGTATTCTTGCACTGGGTGATGAACCTGTCCTTCCGAATCTGCATGTCGCAGTTGTGGGGCCTGCTGTGGAGACCTTCCATGCACTCCCCCGTGGCTGATTTCCCCTCCGTCAGGCTAATTCTAAACGAGGGCTTGAATTGCGTTGGGCTATCCACATGAGTGTTAAGGGGAGGCCTGCACATCCAACCAGTAATGCATAAGCCGTCCACCACTACTTTCAGCAGTGTTCCATAGCTATTATCTAGCTGCCACAATCCCAAAAAATGTGTCTGTACGGGTGGAACAGCTTCGTATAGACTTCTCGATAAGACATTCCAATCATCTCCAGGTTCTGCAAGGTTTCATGAACGCCATACTCCTCCCGGCAGCGCCGTCTCCAGATGCTGTCCATGTGCAGGATGTGGTGGAATTTGGTGCAGGCCTGGGCCAGGCTGGGCAGGTCGGTGCCGGGAAGCGAGGCGAAGATCTCCACCAGCATCTCCACTGGCAGGTCCTGCAGCGAGCAGTGCAGGGGCGGCGGGGGTGGCATGGGGCTCGCGATTCCTCCACTCCCTGCACAGCACCGAGCTGCCTCAACTTGCTTTTCTGCGGGGGCCTGCTTGCCATCGGCTGCTGCCGTCTCAGCTGGGCGCTGGTGCTTCTGACGACACCGACATCCCCATGAAGAGCCCACACCGCAGAGTCAAGCGCACTCCTCCATGCCTCCAGGTGTAATAGCCACGACAGCATGCCTCTCTTTTTTTATATGTTCAAGCTCATTCAAGGCTTTTATGTTGCAACTCTGCGTTTCTTATCTTTCATAAATTGACTCCCTGAAATATTTGCAATCTGCTCTTTTAGAGTTCTGAAGGTCATCCCTCACAGTGAAACAGTTCAGGTATCGCCTGTTAGGAATTCTTAGATTGCGTGGGCACAGCCACTGTCGGGTCATTACGCCCCATTGCTGTTCATGAAATCTTTGTATTGACATTTAGTGTTGCTTTCATGAACTAGTGTTGAGCATTACTTGCTCTAATACATAATTACTTCTTATAATAGGAGTGAAAATCTAATTCCAAATTATGAATTTGCTGATTTTCTCTTCTCATGTGGATAATTAACCACATCTAGATTTTTAACCATAACATGAGCATTGAATTGTACAGTATATTTTTAGCAGAGCTAAAATTTTATGTTTTTTCCTAAACGAGAATTTAGAATAATTCAGAGGTGAAATTAAGTTTTTAAGTCTCACAACCCACTGTGTAAAATGATATATTAAAAATTCCATGAAATCACCCCAAACAGAAAATTATTAGTTTCAAAGAAAGTGGTGAAATA